TTCAGGGGTGGGGCCATGTTGTGTCAGCATATGGAACATGATATGTGATTATATTGTATCTGGCAAAGTCAGGGTGGGGAGTGGAAGAGATAATGGAATATACAGACCTATGAAAAGTCGGGGGGGGAACCAAGTTTGAGGGAGCAACTGCCCCCTTGCTCCATAGCAAATAACACCCTCACTCTGGGGCGGGAGCAGTTGTTTAAAGGCTGCAGAACGATGCCATTTGACAGTCATGGGCATCTGCATGGGCATACACAGCTCCTTTCATCTGGCTGGAGTGCACCACAAAGACAACCCTCAGTTTCATTGTGCCCCCATGTCAGCGGGCACAGAGGCAGCGTAGCCCATAGGACGGAGCAGAGACCTGGGACTCTGAAGATCCGGGTTCTGCTCCTAGCTCTGTACTGTGTGACCTTGCACAAGCCCCTTCCCTGCTCTGTGCCTCAGTTTCCCCATCTGTAAATGGGGGGTTATGATGCAACCTGTTTTGAGCAGAAACTTCAGGGACAGTTTTGTAGGATCATTAGGATGATGATGATGTAATGTCACTGTAACATCCAATACTGGCCCCCTGGTCCGCTAGGTGCTGTACGTCCACCTACCAAGAGGCAGTCCCTGCCCTGAAGACACTGCAAATAGACAAGATAGACACAGGACGGGTGGGGACTGAGAGGCACAGGTGTCACACGGCAGGTGTGTGGCATAGCTCGGGTCTCCTGATTCCCAGGGCAGGGCAGTGGCCTACCCACTCGTCCACACTGCTTCTCTCACAGCCCACTGCCTTTGTTCCATAAGAGGGCTGCTGCAGCTGTGGCCTTGCCAGAAGGATCACAGGGCTGGAGAAGACGGGGGGCTGATCCCCAAGTCAATCCTCCCACGAGAGAGGCACGTAGCTCTCCCCCAGGGGGTGCATCTGCTATTGACCTGCTCCTACACTCGCTCAGAGCCAGCCAACAGGCAGAATTCGCCACTGGTGACATGGCCCTGGGTTGCCGTGGTGACGAACATTGCACTTAAAGGAAGGGTTACATAACTCCCCGTGGCGGGGAGAGGAAAAGGTTTAAAAAGAAAAGCTGCTGTTCCCATGTCCAGGAGCAAGGGACGAGGGAGAGAGAAGGAACAGGAAGGCCGTGAGCCCCGGGAAGATGGAGCCCCAGGGAGAATTTTTTCAACGAATCCCCAGGAGGCAGGATCCTGTCCTTAATCATCTCCGTGCTGCCCAGAGCATGGCAGCCAGGCTGGGCTGCTGCTGAGGCCATCGCTTCGTCTCCCCTCTGAGCCGAAGTGACACCGGGAAATTTCCACAGAAAGCCTGGGATTTGACACTATAATAATGAGACCTAGTGCACTTCTCTAGCGCTTCTCCTCAGTAGCTTTCAGAGCAGGTCAGGATCCTTATCCCCCTTTCACAGCTGGGCAAACTGAGGCAGAGTGGTGACGTGAGCTGCCCAAAGTCACCCAGCCGGCCAGTGACAGAGGCCGAGAGAGTTCCCGGGTCTCCTGAGTCGCTGTCCAGTGCTTTATCCGGTAGAACACACTGCCTGGCATTTTGGCTGCTTACAGCAGTGTTTAGATGGCTGGGGCATGGTCTCTGGGTTAGAGTTTAGAGACCTGGATTCTAGTCCTGCTGACTCACTGTGTCACTTTGGGCAAATCCCTTCTCCTCACCGTGCCTCAGTTTCCACACCAGTATCCTGGTGAGACTATGACCTCGCTGTGTCTGCCTTGTCTAATCAGACTGCGAGCATTTCCTGACAGGGACTGTATCCAGTGCTTCATTTGTAATGAAAGAAGTCCCGGGGCTCAAGCAATTAGGTGCTTGTCTCAAGCAATTTTTTTACTTTTATAACTGACAGAGGTGCCGGGGCTCTGAACCGCCAGGCCCAGAGGTGCCAGGTTCTGAAATGCCAGGCCCAGAGGTGTTGGGGCTCTGAACCACCAGGCCCAGAGGTGCCAGGTTCTGAAATGCCAGGCCCAGAGGTGCCGGGGCTCTGAACCGCCAGGCCCAGAGGTGCCGGGGCTCTGAAC